AGCACTAGTCTGTTTCCTTGCTTTCCTTGGAATAAATCCCTCAATTGTCACACCTCTCTCATGGTGTGCGTCGGCAATGTTGATAATGGACTTGGTAATTTCAGTTCTTATTTCCTCGGAAAGCCCAAGTTGATCGAAGAACTGTTTGAACTTGATGTTATCTTGGAGAGTCTTTGCATAGTGATTTAGATCTTTCTCTATCCTCGGCGGCTCATAGTTGACCAACTCCTCAGTCTCATTGAAGTATGATGACATATAAACATGATGTTTTCTTCTTGGATTGAAGGATGCTTTATAACCAACTCTTCTTTCTGGATTAAATGGTTCACCATAAGAAACTTCCTCGCCTTCTGGCTCAAAAAAAATCTTTGAGGGAGTGCTCTTCATCCTCTGGTTCAAGGGTGTCTTCGACGGAGTGCTTCTCATCCTCCGAGCTTTCAATTGTTTCAATCATTGGCCTGTCATATGCCATCATAACCATGTTTTGTAGGATATCATGGAGCCCTTGTTCTTTGAAACTTAGCTCATTTGCTTCGACTTTCTTTCTAAAGATCTTCTTAAGCATCAGATACGTTTCTATAGGATGTCCTAATGATCAGTGGAAAATAAAATAATTAGGGCCCTCGCGATCTTTCTTCAGTAAAAACTCTTCAACATGAGGCAACTTCAATTCCCCACCTGCCACCCATTCTTTGACTAAGACCTTTGCCTCCTCAATACTACAAGGAAAATGAGTGTCATCTTCACAGCTTTTTCTCTTTTACCCTCTGAATCCCTCCTCATGCGACTTTTGGGTAGAAGACGCGGAAGCTGCAGTGACAAAAAGTCCTTGGGATGACTTGAAGTTGGTTTTATAATTAGTCTCGAACCCGATCTCCTAAGACTGAGATATGTTGATGTTTCGAGATGCTTCAATTAGAGCCGAGAAGGTGGGTAGCTTGTGATTAACAAGAAGCATCTTGTACCTATTTAATGCCCTTTCAACACAGATTTGGATCAAGTAGCTTTCCTCTATAGCCTTGTGACAGCCCACAGCTTTGTCTTGGAACCTCTTTACATATTCGAGAATGTCTTCACCCTTCCGCTGTTTTTCCTTACACAAGGAAAGTGTGGTCACTTTCTTAGCCACTTGAAAGAATTTGGCGTAGAATTTGTTAACCATCTCCTTTCAACTTTGAATAGAGTTTGGGGCCAAGTTCATGTGCCAACTATATGCTCGATCGGTGAGGGACTTGGAGAATTCTCTTAGCCGAAGGACATGATTTGAACCATGAATCCCCAAAGTCTCGATGAACCGAACAATATGTTCTCGAGCATTTCCTTGTTTGCTATCAAATTTGATAAACTTCGACACTATGTACCCCTTTGGGTATAGATTACTCAACATCTTAATAGGGTATGGTGGCTTGACATCCGGATCAGGCAAAGAGGGTAAAGTCCTCTTGCCCCGTTCGAGATCGAACATGGCTTGCACATCGGCGAGAGTGAGAAATTGTTAAGGGAGAGAACTTGATGGTGGTATTCCTGGAACTTGGCTTGTAGTCCCGAAGACCGAGTCTGGAGCGACTTTGCCATTTGGGGGTTGAGAATTTATCATCAGTGAAGACACATGACGATATTGGCCATCGACACCTATGAACAAGCCATTTGGTGATGGGACATTAAATTGGGTCACATAAAGTCCATTGCATACCATGGCTATACCGGGTTGGGCTTATAAACTCGGCGTCAGAGCCAAAGAAAACTTGCTCAGTACGTGGGTGGCATGTACCATTGGTGGAACAAAATTAGGTACGGGCGAAGCTCCATTTTGTGTAAACATGCCCCCAAAATTTTCTTGAACACCAACCGCGTCGGAGCGTCATTCATTGCGCTAGAACCTGCCTTAGTCACCATTGGATCATGGTTTGGCCCAGCATGGAGCTTGGGCGCGAGCAAGCTACTGCCGCCTACCGTGGCTTGAGCATGTGTTGTGCCACCGCTGCATTTGTTGCGGCCTAGGCATGGCCCGACATTGCTTGACCGCACGCTGTAGCTACTGCTATTGTGTTGCCGCGAGCTACGGGTTGGTCGTGGCCTATTTCTTCTTAGGTTACAACTTAGCTATGGTTTGCTCCTCCATAGGCTTGATTTTGTATTTTGATTGGAATAATTCCACCTTGTAGCTTGCTTTTTCTGTTCCTTTCGGATACGATTAGCCCTGCAGCTCAGACTCCCGTGGTTCTGAATTTGATTTTACAAGTGCAATGTGAGATAAAAAAACACAAATGAGTCCAAATCTGGCAAATCTTTTAAAAAGTAGATGTTTGAATCAAATGCCAAAAATGGACTACTTTGCCAGTCTATAGAGTCGCCACCTAAATATTTTTTGTGAAATTTAGGAAACCCAGCTAAAGGTCACGTGTCCGTCATCACCAAAGTGTCTCGGCTTGGTAACTTAGGTATGAGAGAGGAAGGTCATGAATTGAGCACTCCTCTCACCCAATCAAAGATCGGCCTCTACTAATCATGATGTGATTTTTATTTATATTATATGCTCTTGTTCCGATTATTAGTTAACATTACTGCTTGATGCACACAAGTATAGACTAATTTGAAAAAGTTGGAACGTTTTGATTTTATGTTCGCTTGGAAATTGTTTTTGATACTCGTCACTTTAAAATGTGAGTCCGTATGTACATTAGTCAATTTATCCCAATTTTAACAATTAGCCTTCATCCACTGACATTCAAACAAGTATATCACTTAAGCATTTAGCCTCATGAAAAGCATGCTCGACATGACAACATAAACATACAATGCGAGAAGCTAAAGCAATAAATTGCTCACATAGTACTCCAAGACAAGCCAAATAAAAATGATTAGAAAATATGCATGCTCCTAAATAATACAATGTGACTAATGTAACACATACAATATGCAATTTTAATAGGCTCAGCTATGAGCATGGTATATGATCCAATTCAAGACATGTGATAAATCACGTTTTCAAGAAAGTGATAAATGACGATGTTTGTTAGAATGATGAGCCGAACCTCTATGCATGCGAGGCAAATGGATGCCAACATGGGAATGCTAAGTAAATATGATGCTCTGTGCTACTATCATAAGCGGGTAAATAAAAGAGAGAAAGAAATGGGAGTTGGAAGACATACACGCTTATTACATATTTTGCCCTCATGCAAGAGGATCTGAATAAGTGTCCGAGGGTCCGAATAAGTGTCCAAATGTCCGGATTGACTAATTATTCGAGGGTCTGGATTAACTAATTATTACAACATCAAACAAATGAATTAATCGAACTAACTATCAACTAGCTTTCTAAGTTATTACAACAAGGGTACTACAATAATTACATCATTATAGTATGAACAACAAATAGTTACAATGACGATAATTACAACAATGATAATTATAATATTAATACAAACAATAATGAGGCATAACGATTGCATGTATAGTGTCCAGAAGCTGCTCTGTTTGCCTAGATTGCTCTGTCTCGCACTCAACCACTGCCTTCTGTTTCTGCAAAAAGCTCACTACTTACCAAACATTGGGAGTCGGCCGGCTCCAAGTGAGATCTGGTCGGGCCAAAACAGTGCCGGCCAGCTCCAAATTTTATGCCAAAAAATGTTTTATGCTCTGAGGTGAGAACAGTGCAGATAGAGCCTTTCTAGGCCCTATTTGTCCCTTATGCCCTTCTCTGTCATGGGAAACTCAAGAGAAGAGCGATTTCGATTGCGAAACCACCAACAAGCACAATTTGATGGCTTGATGATTTTCGAACACAATTTGGACAAAAACAATTAATAAATGCAATGAAGGCGACCACCCCTCCCTCTCATTATGGAGACTCAAAGAGAGAGACAGACACGTTTCAAGTTTCGTCAAAATATCATGGATTGATAAGTGACAATTCTTGGAGCGATGGACTCGGCATAATGTTCAGTCAAATCCAACCAATTTTGTTCATCTTTTTTTTATGTTGGTTTTATTGATTTTAGGTCAATTTTTATTAGTCCTTTCCATTACTTAATCAATTTGTTCGAAGTGATGTTTAAATCCACTAAATGAGAAGAAATGTCAAACGAGAAGTAATCCATAGCATGAAAGAGAGACTATACATTGACGATGAATCTCTGTAGAGATTAAGCCATTGAGCATAGATCTCTATCCCATGCCTTGAATAACCATCAATTGTTTGAAGTAACTCTCAAACAAAAGAGAAGAGGAAGAAAAGAGGGAGGTGGTAGAAATGATTGTGCGAAATTGATTGTTTAAAATGAAACTCTTCTTATGAAAACTAAGTAAATAAAGCTATCAACTCAAATGACTTGATGTCTAAGGTCTAAACAACCGAAGCCATGAAGATTTACAACACAATAAGTACAATACTATTCAAAGCATAAACTATTTAAATGAATTAAACAACCCATAATAGCCCCTAAAATGTAAAAAAAAAAAAAAAAAAAGCAAGAGAAAGTAAGTAAAAAGAGTAAAGAAAAAGCTATGAAACAAAACCTAAGAAGGGGTGGCTAACCCCTCCACTTTTTGTAATTTTAAATCACATATTTTAGCCCCAAAACAGTCCAAGAACAATCCCAAAACAGCCCAAAAATAGTGGCTAAAAGTGTGTTTAAAGAGCACAAAAAGATAGACTAAAGTAAGAGATTTAAAGTTAGTAAGGAAAATCAAGGAGAGGTGGCTAACCCCTCTACTTTTGAGACTTTCAAACCATGTTTTTCAGCCTTTCCAAACTCTAAAAATCAGTATATAAAGACAAGAAAAATAGAGGAAAAGAGTATAAGAAGATTAAAGAAAAAGGTTATTCACCCAAAAAAAAAGAAAAATGTGCAAAATTATACCTTTCACAAAGAGAGGTAAGCTTTTAGTTAACAAACTTGATTCCAACACCCTCAAGTTTATGAAATTTAGTTAAAAATCTCAACAAAAAGCTCCAAGAACAAGCTCTAATGGTGTATGTATTGTGTATGAACCTTAAGATCGCTTCCGCTATATCCTTCTGTCATGGCTGCAAGCTCCTTGAAGTCTAGATTTTCTACTTTTTCCTTTCCCAAAAGCGTCCTCAGGATCATTTCCCTGCTCTCCACGGATGGGAGACCAACCATAATTCTGTTCACCAGAAAACACAAATCTCAGTAAACTTAATCTCTATGTTTGATTTATGTTTCCATCTTTTTGTTTTTGTTTTTTGTGTTTCCATCTCAGTAAACGAATTTGTGAACAAAGCTCAGACATTCTTTTCATCTTCTCCAAACCATTTTGAAGTGATGGTCGACATCGAGACGTTGATGAAGCTTGCTCCGGCCTCATTGGCAATGGCCTTTGCCAGCATTGTTTTCCCAGTATCCGGAGGTCCAAAAAGCAATATACCCCTACAAGGCTTAAGAAGTCCGCCATTGAAGAGGTCTGCTCTTCGAAGAGGGAGCATGACCAGCTCTTGAAGTGATTCTTTAATCTCATCCAAGGCACCGATATCTGCAAATGTTACTCCAATCTCGTTTGCAGGAATAACCTCTGGCCTTATGCGTTTCTCAAATTCGTTGTCGGGAGGAACTTCCTATAGGAAACCATGATGCATAGACACACATGTTGTTAGGAAGTTATATTCTTTCTTCATGTACTTAGCAAATCCTTGAAAGTGCAAGAAAGTGCAATATTAGGAGAGATTATATCAATTATCAACTGATAATATACTTAAAACTTTCAGAAGATGGTGCGGAAGAGCATTAGTGTCCAACTGCAACAAACATTTATCTGTCGGTTCATTTTTTTGTTACTTCTCACCATCTCCCTTTTCAAATAAATTTATCAGAGATGGGCTTACCGGCTTTGATGGCGGTGAATTCTCACCATCTTTCTTTGCTGAAGGAACCGATTTCTGTCTCGCTTTTGTTTGCATCAGGCTTTGACCCAATTATCTCTCCCCCCTCGGAGTCCTAAATCGATAGACAAATGAAGCACAGTTAGTTAAACCCTATTAAAAATGATAAAAATCTGTTTCAGGCAAATTTTGCAAGATGGGAACCATGGCATGGAAAATTTGGGCTTTCTTATCCCTGGGACAAATACCTACAAATTGGAGATGTTCTTAGAGAGCTTGCTACTACCATTGTATCACTAAAAGAGTGTCTTCAATCTCATAGACAGGTCTGAAATTTTCATCCCCTAGATTTCATCAATCATATTTAAAAATATAATAATATATTGACATTTTATTCAAATTCTATCATCAGCCCTCATCAGCTCTAAGACAATCAATTAGAGAACCATGTGAAGTGGTTGGGTCATCACTTGCGTGGACTCTGAGAGATATTGGAGAGAGTTTAATGAAAATGGAAAGATGCAGGCCTAAGGCATTCATGGCACCAAAATTGCAGTCAATGAAACAAGAGCTTAGCCTAGTCACTTATTCCAAATTAGGAGCAGCAGAGAATGGTGAAGGACTAGCTATGGCCAGCTTGGTGTTCCTATTGAAAAAAATGACTACTCTATTCCTGTTAGAATGATGCTAAGTCTGGGATTTGATATATACAATAATATAATTCAATAGAGTTTATAATTCAATAATATAATCCTTATTGCAGCTGCGTGAGATCTAGGGCAGAGAGGATTTGATTGGATGAGTTTTTCATGTTTACTACCATCTCAGACTTTAATGAGGGCTCCTCACCAACACTCAATTATGAAAATTGGAAAAAAAAACTACTATAGCACTAAGGAAAAAATATTGAGATAGTATGCACATATTTGCAAGCCACTGCCCACATAGAACTTTGCATAACAGAATAATATCGCGAATGTTGCTAGAAAATGTGCTTAGTCCTTGTCAAGCTTACCATTGTAGGACGCAATGCCAATAATGTAAAAAGCCTACCTCAGCAGCTCCCTTAACTAATAATTTGTAAAGAGCATTAGGACCAGAAGAAGATTTCCAATGCATAAATGGGCAAAGGATAGAAAATTCAGCTACTGTTCATGCAACTTACATGGTGTCATAGAACATCCTCACCCACACACACCAATAGTAATAATGGTAATATTGTCTCCTTCCCATAGTTGTGATTATAAACAAAAACCACAAATGGCAATGACATTCCAATGTTCTAAGATAAACCCATCAAGGACTTACTTTCCACACACCATCCTGAATGGTTATGAATCGATTTCCGTCATAGTTAGCTGCAATATCAAGAAAGAATGATAGCAGATGAGGATCTTGAGCTACAAAATAGACAATGCGTACTAAAAAATGAATAGGTAAATTAAACCATTAACCACCAGTCGAATGATATTTGGAGTGAAAAGACCCTAAAGATGGCTTAGAGACACAAACATAGGATTAACACAATAATAACTAACTTTTCTCAAATGGTTTGAAAGCAAGGCTCTGGATTAACACAATAAGATCACTTGGTTGTGTACTTGTCTAATGAAAGCAAGGCTCCTCGTTCGTGACCCAGCACAGTGTTTTCTTAAAAAATAAAATCAAATCATGAAAGAATGATCAATTTAAGCAAGTAATTGTGCATGATTCATTAAGTTTTAAAAGCAGCAGCCAAACATGGGGGAAAACACTAGGTTCAACTGAATGAGACCACAAGGTTCAAATCTACTAGGGAGCAACATAAAATCAGACCCAGCAATAATCATGTGGGCCAAGGGTACGTTGAATTTTGCAACTCTTCTGGCCTTGTCGGGATATATTATCTCAAGCTGTTCTAGCTGCTTCTCTATGTATTTCTTGCCAGTGCCCTAATAGAAAGAGCAAATCCATTTCACAATTCAAACCAGAAAAAAGCGACAAATAAAAGTTCTCTTTTAAAAAAAAAAAGTTACCTAAGAAAAAAAAAACACTAAACTTACAAGAACTACAATCTGAGCATTCTCTCTAATGAATTTAGGAATGGCAGCCGCTAGGATATCCGAGCCTTTCTGCTCTTCTAGTCTACCAATGAATCCGATCAAGGGGATGTTTGCGTCCACAGGCAACCCAACTTCTGCTTGAAGTGCTTCCTTCAAAAGACACTTTGCAGCCATGACCTAAAAAAATCACAATTGTACTACGCTTTTCAAAAAGCGTCTTTTTTGGACTGTGATGTTTGGAAAAAAAGTGATATTCTATGGGTTTGAGTGGCAGAGGTTTGTTTTTTTTTTCTTTTTTGTAACTCATTAATTAACTGGTAGAGTTAAGCATCAGCGAAGGCACGGGTCTTGGAAAACGAGAAATAAAGACGTTTTCAAAAAGCGTCTTTTTTTAAGCGCCGTGACATTGAATTTTTCTTGTAGTGTATACCGGTCTTACGAATGATGTTATTCAATTCCACACCCTTATCTATGCAGAAAACAAGTTCCTGGGCATAGTATGGGGTCACTGTTACGACCCTGTCTGATTCTAATATTCCACAGAAACAAGTTCCTGGGCATCAAAACCATTGAAGCGGACGACCCTGTCTGATTCTAATATTCCACCCTTCATCCAGTTAATTTTCCTTCCCTTGGCAGGCTTGTCATAACTGCAACATGCGAAGACTTGTACTTGGTCTTCAGATAACATGGAAGAAGAGCAGTGTGCTAATCATTGGCAATGAAGACAACATCCTCCCCTGCATTTGTACGAGACAGATATGTTACACCATTTATAATAGAATGCAAAATAAATAGATAAATAAAGGTACAAACTTTGAGAATGGAACATACCATAAGGTCCAGAGAAATATTTATTGTTGTTTAGATTCAAAATCCTTGGTGCCTCCAAAGCAGCCTGAGTTCAACATAATAAATGAATGCCAGCTATATACTATATAAGCAATAGTGTAGAACTGCATACATGATTAGGTGTAGGCTAACAAAAATCTTGAGTAGGCAGTAAGAGGAAATAAAACAATGATATACCACAGGTGGTCATTATATAAAACAAACAAGAACATGGATGATTGACTCGTGTTGAATGCAAAACCATGTAAATTTGGAACACAATGCCAACCTTTTGCCTTAACCGCCCATCGACTGATTACTTCTCTAATATATAATGAGCAATGATATACAAAAATATATATATATATATATATATATTTTCCTACCAAGCACTGTGGTTTATAATTTCAAAAAATTTCACTGCCACAGCATTTTTAGTGAGTTTTCAGTATAAAATTTCTGCTTGACAATCATTTTCCATATATAATATAGTAGGAAGTTACGACAAAACAACTGCACTTTTTTATTTTGAATCAAGTGTTCAAAGAATGAAAATCATTCATGGAATTACGGGCTTGAAACTACAGGTTGCATCAAAACCATGTAAATATGAGAACAGTTGATTGAGGACAGACATAAACCTTTTCCAGGAACATTCATAGATCTTAGATCCAGTTTTACCCCAAACCTTTGAAAGTTAAGAAATTCAAGCATCAGAACTAAGATCAAGTTGACTATTACAGCTGAAGTATATATAGTTCACCCCTAAATACGAGAACAATTGATTGAGGACAGAAATAAACCTTTTCCAGGAACATTGGGTGATCCACAAAAACACGATCAACTCCACGTTTGTAGCAGTGGAAGAAGCGAACTGTCTCTATTCGGTCTCCAATTTTTTTCTGCAATATAGAAACTTATCTTTGAAGAAACTAATCCCAAGAATCATTCGCTAGACTAGTATATAGTAAAACCTAACCTTGCATTGAAATGGTTGGAATTTGGCAAAACAAGCACAAAATAGAATTTACCAGAAGAAGAACATGAATATCCCATGCATCTTTGTACTAGTCGTAACGTGGGGAAACTGTCATAACACGATGCCCATTGCCCTAAATGTTTTACCAATTTACTACAAAACTACCAAGAAGATTGATCTATTATTTTGTCCTGCATTGACTTCTTTAATGAATCTGGAGCCAATGTGGAGAATTTTTTTACCATTTTAGTAGTCAGGGAGAAGGGCAAGGGAGCTTTCTGTACTAGGAGGCTCTATTTAATGACAAAACAAAAGACTAATACACATCATGGAGAATATGCAAAATGCTCACCATACAAAGAAAGTGGCAATGCATAGGTTTATCAGTAAGTCTACTTAAAAGTAAAAATCCCTATTCTTTACAAAATTTATCATACAACAGAGCACTGTGCTCTGCTTCTGCGCACTACAAACTTTGTTCAGAAAAATTAAAATTAGCAGTAATTACAGCACTATTAGTTGCTCTTTTACTCAGATAATTTTATATGCTTTAAATGAGACTAGAATGTAAATAACAATCAGTTTATAAGATGATTGGGAACAACCACCAACATAATAATAATTGGTCTCTCTGAAAGGTAAACTAGTAGTTACATCAGATTCTCCTATCATAATCATTTTATGTATTCTTGTTTTCATATGATAGGCTAATTTTACTGACTTAAAAATTTTCTGGCCATGGGCTGTTAGAGTTGTCATGGGTTGTAATATGAGTCAACCCATGTTGTTGGATCTCCAAACATGTTTTTTAGTTAGTTTTAGAAGCGAAAGTCTAATTTTCAAATTTTGAAGTCAAGTGCCCTTTCGGAATTAGGAATTCTTTTTTAAAAAAGTAATATAATACTTATAATTCAACGAAGAACATGCTTCAGAGCTTTTTGGAGCTTCTTTGGGATTGTGTGATGCATTCCTAATGCTAGGCGTGATGCCTAAGGGACTCTAGGTGGGATGCCTTTCATCTTCTTTTTCTTAATTTTCTGCAGTTTAAGCACTTTTAATGATAGCCTTCCAGCTCCACCTTTTGTTAGCCATAAAAACCCTAAAAACCTTTCTCTCACCAAGCTTTCAACCACAAAACTAAGTATTATTGCCCCAAAAACCTACTTCATAGTTGTCCCACACTACATTTGGCTAACTATTTCTCTTTATTCATCCTACGTCACATCACATGTGAGCTTATGGAAGATAGTCCTGCCACCTGTATCTCAAGTAAAGTAAAGAACCATGCATGATGC